AATGAAAGAAGAAACATGTATTTATTGTTGATAACTCTATAAAAGATAGACACAATGAAATCATTGTTAGTCTTTTTCAAAATTGCCCTTATTATATGTTAGGTCTCATGAAACACTCACATAAAAAAGTATATGTTTTCTTCTCTTTTTTTCTTAAGAAAATTTACTTTGTTATTTTCTTTTTTTTAATTCATGCAATGTGGGATATTAGCAAAATGTAGCATTCTTTTCCTGAGAAATCAAAACTATATAAAAAAATGCTCAAAAAATTATTTAAGATTTATGTAAATTATATTGACATAAATTACATAAGTAAAGGGAAAAAAAACACAAATTTGTTAAAGAATTATTAGTTTAAACTGGATTCATCTTCATCCTATCTAAAATTGTCCCATATTTGCATTCTCATTTATCGTTAGATTAATGCCAATGATGCTAGCAGGGCCGGCTCTAGGTTATTTGGGGCCCAAGACAATGTTCCCTCATTGCATTTGGATACAATTCAAAAGTAAATTTAACAGGCAAAAGTTTTGAGATACTGTATTATGTATTATTTAAACATCTAGTGAGTGTCTGTCCATGGGATCAACAGCTGCAACACAGCATGTCGTAACAACATAGTCGTGGCTGTTGGCTTGTTGAAATACCATTTATGCTAAATCTTCCATGGTGCTAACCACATCATCTGTTACCCATCATAGTCAAAATAAGTGTCAGAGTCAGAGTAGGACATACAGCCAGGTTATTGCAAAGAATCTATAGAGATTGTATTCCATGATACAGAGATACATTTAATTTTTTTTTTATTTCTTCATTCTGCAATTTTGCACCCTGTCCAGCAGATGGCGCCTGAGGCAGCTTCCTGTGTCACCTGTCAGCATAGCCCTGGCCCAATGTTTCAAACTATTCCCCCTTAGTTAGGTGTTGCTGTGTTCTTAAGGGTTTTATAGATACAACTGAATTGGCAATTTTTTTTCCAAGTGTTAGTATTATTATATCAGCAAAGCTTCAAAATAACTTTTTCTCAGCTTGAAAAACCCTGATTAGATGCCTCCCTTGGTAGTGAGCCTCAGCAACTAACATGCATATTAGTCACTGCTTAATGCATTGCAAGACTATAAATACATTTATTAAGTGATTTGAAGAGAGACATGGATCTTTTAAAGTTTTACATTTTAAACACAAAAATGACAGACACTAAAAAGTGAGATTGAAAATATGAATAACATTTAAACTAATCTTATCCGCTGCAGACATAGCTGCATACCTTTAGCCTACGTTTTTGATTGAAAATAAGATGACAGGTGGTTATTTTTTCATCTTTTTAATCATTTTGTTTGGGGTTTTTTTTATTAGTGTATGTTAATACCATTTAGATGAGCAACAAAATAATTCAGATCAGCTAAGTTAAGGTTTCTGTAGAACAGTGGGTGATTAGTTTCTGGTTTTGCATCTGATTTATTGTGAATAGAAAAAAAAACAAAGACACCAAACCTATAACACAAAGAATAACTTTTCCCAAAGTGCACAGGTTTAAAACTATCTATACCATGCATTGGGTTTAATCTTGCAGCTTTTATGCTTTGACTTTCAAGTGAGAGAACTCCAAATTCCGCTGGAGCCATAAATGCATCACCAGCATAAGGGTTTTTTCACAGCAGTTAGAAGGTTTATTAAAGATATTTTGCCTGGGTGTTATATGTGTTGCTTTAGTAGCTGCATACAAAAAAGGGCTTTTTCATTCATTCATTCATTTTACAGCATTTGGAATTGTGGTTTTAAGTTTTAGTTTATCTCAAGCTAAATAACAACCCCAGTTACACTGGTTTGCCTGCTCTGCAAGGATCCCTTTTTTTCATCCAACCTGTGATCTGCAGCTTTGCAAATGGGAGCTTAAATAACAACAGCCGCAAAATTCTGCAGAGCAACCACTGCAATAAATTGTATTGCATTAATTTACTGATAAAAACATAGCCATGATGCTGCAGAAGCTACTCTAAAAGATTCAAAGACAACATGGACAGTATAAGTAATGCAGCATTCTGCATGTTTTGTTGCACAGCTCTGTATTTATTTAAGGTTTATATTTAAGGCAAAAATGGATCAAAAAGATTTGCATCCTGTCTGGATGCTCAGAGTAAATCCAAATCTAAAATCATTGTAGGGGAATTTATACCGTTAATGACTGATCAGATGGTGCAGTTAGATGGGATGGATTATCCACCTCTTTCTCTGCATTGTCTTCTTCGTTTGTCTTTGACTTGGAAATCTTCTCATCTTCACTACATATGCTAAGATCATTTTCCCTCATATTAATTCATTTCTTCAGCTGTTGCGCTTTCAGTGGCCTCCGTCACCCGAGTCATTCCTGGTCTCTCTGCTATTCTTCCTCCACAAATTTCAGTTTTTTCTAACTTCTCATCAATCAATCCTATGGAAGTTAGAAAGGTCTCCAGTTTTACATTTTGCTTTCCATTGTTATCTGCCATATGTAAGCATCAAGATTTTGAAAAAATAGTCTGCTTGTTCTGGCAAGATGAAGCTTAAGCAACAATTCAATCTGGAAGACTCTTATCAGCTTCACCTAAACACCTGTGATGGCCTTTGTTCAGATAAAGCCAATTAATTCAGGGCCGCACCTTCTCCGAGGGCAATCATCATTCACCTCCTGGTCCAGCTTCTCTTTCCGCACGCAAGCAAACTTTCACCCACTCTCCTCCTCCACTCTCAGACTATTCTCAGTCCCACTCTTCCTCTGGCTTATTTCCCCAGCAGTGTCTGTGCCCCTGGGGAAGACTAGTCTGATGGGGTTTTTTTCAGTTACTCACCAAACTTGTTGTCATCTGGTCCCATGGTGTAATGGTTAGCACTCTGGACTTTGAATCCAGTGATCTGAGTTCAAATCTCGGTGGGACCTTGTCTTTATAGGAGTGTGATGACCTAGGGGGTTACAGCAGTGTGTCTCCAAGAAGGCTGTAAATACCCAGTTTAATTCTCACATCCTCCAATGTGGTTTCCTGAGCAAGACCCTTTAATCAGAATAATCTGTTATTAAATTAATCGTTAACTATCTTAGTAAGCGATTAATCGTTAACTGGAGTATAGAGACTCTAAAACCAGCTTTTAGCTGATAGAGCGACCCACTTAGAGAAGAAATGATACCCAAATTGTAAAAAAAAAAAAAAAAAAAAATCTGTTATAATTTATGATGAATACACTTTTTCATCTGTCAGCATGCTCTATCCAGAACTCCTCAAGTGGAAAATATTTAGTTTCACCTGGTTTAATTTTTCAAAAAGTCTTTTTTAAGGAACCTTTGGTGATCCAATTATGAATCGATTAATCGAAGAAAATAATAATCAACAGAGTTCCACCTTCTCCATGTTGTTCTTCAAAGCAGCACTGTATAACTTTTGGCCAAAGCTTTACCTTAATTTGAGATATATTAAATGTTTTTTAAAGTAAAAATTCAGCACTTGATGCTCTGTATGGACTCCATTTCTTTTAAACTTTCCTATGTGAATTGGGTCAGTCAGTGAATGAGTCAGACATATTTTTGTTCTCTCTAGTGACTCCATGCCTTAGTCTGCTGGTCTAAAGTGGTCTGCGTTAAAACCCGATCAGCTCATTATTCAGATCGCCTTAAAAAATGTAACTACGGTACTGAAAGTACTTCTTTTTATCCTTAAGGCCTGATTGCTTCCCAAGGGGATGGGTTAAATCCCGTGGTAAATTTCTCCAATAGGATATTAATAAATTTCTATTATTTATTATTACTATATGTCGATTCACAGCATCAGTCTTCTGCTGGGGTCCACAGGGCAAAACAAAGACATTCAACCCTGCACACACACACTCTCACACCTAAGAACAATTTAGAGATGCCAATGAACCTAACAGTCATGTTTTTGGACTATGGGAGAAAGCCTTGACTGAAGACTGTCTGAAAGCTGCACCAAATGAAATTTCCTTTCGTATACACTCTGTGTATACAAAATAAAAATAAAAGTTGTCTAGGTGTAAGTCTGGAGAGAACAAACGCATGCACAGGGAGAACATGCAAACAGAAAGACCCCAGACCCCAGAAACAGCAAATGCAGAAAGACCCCGGGAACCAAGGAACTTTCTTGCTGTATGCAAAAAAGTTCTACAAACTCCCAGCTGGTGTTCCCTCATTACAAAATAACTTAGTGTACTCATAGTGGATGGAGGGAGAGTGTCTGTGAATATCCATTTATGTCCTGCTGCAGATTATCTACTAGATTTACTGTGGGTTTGGACTTTGACTGGACAATTCACGAATACTTTGATTGTAAACTATTGGTGACCAAACTACTGCCCTTTAAAATGATTTGTGCAGCGAGCACTGGCCATTTAATATAAGTATTAATTTGGGCTGTTGCAGAGATGGCTAATGCAGATGGTATTTTTTTTTTTTTTAGGTAGAGTTACAAAAAAGAAAA